CCGTAAAATGCAAAGACATGAAACCTTCACTAATGTGTTAAGGGACTTTAGTCACAACTTTTATGTCTTAGTGCGAAAGGATTTGATGATGCCTTAAATAAGTTATTGCCCTTTAACGCTTTTGTGCTTACTATTAAACCTCGAAACTTTAAAACTATAAGTCATAGAGGCATGAGGTTAATTGCAATGTGACCTTTGACCTTGAAAATTATTTGAAGGTCAAAGGTCAAGGTCATTTTCATTTTTTTTAATTTAATTTTTTTCATCTTTTAAGCCATTTCTGGTTTCATTTTAATGAAATTTAAATTCAAAGGAATAAATATTAAATGTAATTGAAATTCAAAGAAGGTGGAAAGACCTCTAATTGTTCGAGAACAATTAGTCTCCTAGTTTATAATCTATTTTTTTCTTTGAAAGAAGATAGCATGTTGTGTTCCTGTTTGATATATTTGAGATACACATTTTCTATTTTCAACTGTTTGACATGCATGTGATGATAACCGTCCCCCCGAGTTCATGGAGTTAGCGGAGTCTGTCATGTGAATTTCTATATTTATAAGTATAGGAGGGGATTTAATTTTGAACAGTGCATGTAAAATTACACGTATTGCTCTGATTTTCAATTCATCCCTACCTGTTAAATGGTTAGAACTTCGATAAATCTACTGTCACATTTTCTGTTTCCTCCAACTTTGTTCACCTGTTGTTTACGTTTGAATATAAAAACCGAAACCGGAAGCGATCAAAATCGGCCTAAAAAAAAATCGTTTTATATATTTTTCATGGTGGCCGCATGCAAACAACAGAATGATACTCTGGGAAATAATTTATTGTGCCATTTTTATACATGTACATAGAATTAATTTTTAAAAAATTGAATTAATCGAATAATTAAACGTTTAACAATATTTTTTTTTTTCTAAACGACTCAAAATGATTAAATAAATAAATAAAAATAAGGTATTCTAGACTTATTGATTTGTAATTAATATTAATTTTACTTCTTGGGAATTTTAATTGTAGGACACGTCACACCATTTCCTAGTCGTGTATGGCAGGAATAATCTATAAAATTAATGCACTTCAATTTTATTTAGATAGTTCAATGGTTACGGTGTGGTGTATAGTAAACATTGGTGTTGCCCACATTGACAAGTTGACTGACCTGAGGAGTAATACAGGGATATAGCCTTCCTAGAAATTTTATCTGTTGTACTAAGGATTATGATCTGGGCTGAAAGTTTAAATTAAATTAAAAAAAAAAATAATAATAAAAAAAAACAAACTTCATATTGACATTTTTTTCTTTGGTTTATAGCAATTTAATCACAAATCATCCAAAAACAAAAGAATTATGGCATAAGTCGGGATGTTAGTTATGCAGATTTTTTAAGTTTAATGTACATTTAAAAGCAACATATGCATTGAAGGTATATTATAAAATAATGATAATAAATAAATTCCATATACTATTTCTCGGTTTATGTGGACCAGGTTTCATTACAGTACCTTTTCCCTCCATGTACATGTACCTATTCAGTTTTGCAGAACTATTTAGGAGCCAGCTGTAGCCAGTCTCCTTCAAACTGGTGTATCTCAAAATACAGAAAGCAAAAGTCTTTTTTTCAATTTCAGGCAACAGGTATCATTTCAGCAGATCTGGTCCCCTCCTTTTGGTCGTATGATTAATTTTATAGCATATATATGTCAGAGTATTATGGCTTTTCTACCGTCAAATGTTATTTATCAGGAATCAGTTTTGTCATCAACTTGCATGGTTGGCAGAATCCAATCGATTCTTTTATTATTAATAAGTTATGGGTTGGTTACAAGAGATGTAACTATAATGCGTCTCAGGATATAATAAAACTATTATATTACCTATGTTGGATAACATTGTCATTGTTTTGCCAGATTTGTGTTCTGATTTTGAAGCGGCTTTATTTAAGTCTGCTTTTACATGATTCTAAATCTGCTTTTAAAAATATTTAAGTCTGCTTTTACATGGTTTTGAAGCTGCTTTATTTAATTTTGCTTTTACATGATTTTGAAGCGGCTTTATTTAACTTTTCTTTTACATGACTTTGAAGCGGCTTTATTTAAGTCTGCTTTTACACGAGCTTTCTTTGCATTACTAAAAGTGAGTAAAATAGTGGCTTTGGGTATCAAGCATATAATTGTCTCTTGTGATACCATTCAAGTTTTTTGTTACAATATTTTAGACTGGCCAAACTGGTTCGGGAACATGTTTGCATTTTGAAAAATATTACAATGTGATTGTTTCAATCTTTGCAGAATTTTGCTGTATTATGTACAAATATTGATAGGGCGTCTCAATTTTCACATTTAAACTCTAAACCCTTTTCCCAATATCAGTTTCCGTCCATCTTAAGGTATTCAATGTATAATGAAGGGATTTTCGACGTTTTTAGATAAAGATAAAAGTGAAATGAACCAAAATTCGCAAGACTAATAACATGTACAGAGACGGTCATTTTGCACATTGAAGGTTTCTAAGAGTTACCTGGCCTTGATTGAAAAAAAAAATTAATTTATCTAAATTTCTTCGGTATAAAGTTCACTTTATATCATATTTTAATAAACAAACAAACGCATATTTTCATCAAGAAATGATACTCGCATTAGTTTGAAATTCAGACTACTTCTTAAAATATCTTACAAACACATATGCGCTGTCCATAGACTTATATATTAAAATCAAGGTGCAATTAATTGGTTAGTAATCAACATGTAATTTCCTTGTTGGAACATTTTTGTTTGACAACATCTTCAAATTATGACTAAAATATTGCCGACTTGGCGTAGAACAATAATAATTAATCAAAATATTTTGCTACCATGATTTAAAATATCGGACTATTTATTTCTTAGGTACAAAATATGGTCGTTAAACATTGTATAAACTTTAAACAAAGCTTTGCAGTTTTTGAATATTCAGTCAACTGAAGTGAAGACGTACTGATTTTTCACATTGGGTTTGCAACCCACTTGTATACAAAGTGTTTACAGAGGAAAATATTACGCAGATGGGAAGGTGGCAGTTGGGCGCCAGGGCTGTGTATTAAAAATTTAAATACGATACATGTACGATACAATAATTTTTTTTTTCTAAAGATATAAACGATATATTGGATTCTATTACAAGTCAATCATAAAAGGCTTATAAATCATTTAACGTATGAATTTCATAAAAAATTTAGTGTTTCATTGTCATTACAACTTACACCTCAAATTAAAACTTTTAATGATTATCAAATCAAAACTTTTGATGACTGTAAAATCAACATTTTAAATTAAAATTGTCCATGCTTTAGTAATAATTCTAAAAACTGTGTTATTGCCTTAAAAAATTGAATGATTATTGAACAGATTTAATTAAAAAAAAAAAAAAGTGAAATATGATCTTTGGTGATTGAAGTTCCAATCTTTTTAACAGAATTAGAAGAAAAAATGCCTGTCCGATACGTATTGGAAGTAAATTTTCGATACGATATGTTTCTTGTATATTGATACGTATCGATAAATTGATAAAACCCAACAGTCAGCAGCTTACAAATCTTACATAAGACCATTGTCGTAAATTTACCTTCTGTTTATATATATGTTTTATATATGACACAACGTTGCAATTCGAATATTGCTTTGACATTTACTTAGTATTCCCACAAACTTTTATTACATATATGGTCACATATTTTGCCTCAAAATAATTGATGAATTGCCTTGCAAATTTAGAATGACAGAAGTGTAGACATAGGATTAATAGTGCATGTGCTATATTTGTGGTAAGTAAGTTAAAGGGTCGTGGTGCATCAATCAATTATCCACATATTAGGACGCATTGCAAGGGAGATACTGGAGTTTTTCAGATTTGGGAAACAATTTATTTATACTTTGAGAAATTATATCAATTGTGTAATTTTGTTTTGTGAACATTTCTGCGTTGCTTGTCATGAGCCCCATTGTGTGCGAGTTGCACATTTATCTTTTTCAATGCAATTTGCATTAATTTTAAAATTTCAATCTTAAGGCGCAATTCGTGCCTTTCACTTACCAATTTGGTTATTTGGTGCGATTTGTACCTAATTTGTGCACGATTTGTGCTTTTATTGTTGATCTGGGCGGCAAAATCGCCGCCCCAATTTTAGTTTGAGACGGATGGGTCATGCGACTATGTCCCTTGACCCATTTGGCTTAATGCATATATTTTGGTGCAATTTGTACTTAATTTGTGCACGATTTGTGCTGTTGTTACTTTGGGCCGCAAAATTGCCGCCCCAATTTTAGTTTGTGGCGGATGGGTCACGTGACTTTGTCCCTTGACCCATTTGGCATAATTTTGCAAAGAATGCTGTCTCCGGGGGGTACTGTTTTTTCCAGACTCCTTGGATCAAGGTGGTATTTCTCTTGCTCATCATCTATATTCATTTACCTATGCTGCCATATAATCATAATGATCGGCGCATACATTGTGTTATATCTAATTTATTATTAAATGGCCATGACAAGCACGCCAAAACAAATAAAGTCTTCTTTTTATTGACTGTATTTTCAGACTTCGTAAACCTTTTACTGGGGTTAATCTGATCAAGTTTGTTTCTGTTTTTGTCTTGGTCCAATGTCACGAAATAATGGGATTTATCCAATATGGATAAACCTGGTTATTTCGTGCAGCTTAATGTTTTACATGCAAAGATAGATAACTCTTAGTTTCTTAACATTGAACGTCATAAATCATCGGGCTCGGTGCTTAAAACATTCTTGATATTTCTTGTATGCGCATGTCTTCTGGAATATTCCTTTTGAATCTGTAAATTGAACGAAGCAGACGCAAAGATTTTTTAAAACCCACCCTCCCTCCCCTTAATTTTATATTTTATCCCCCTTTAGCACCTCTGCCATTCTTCTAATGCATTTTCATTATAACTGTTTTTTTTTCCGGTTGTTTTTTCGTTTTCTTTTAATTTCTCGTTTCAGCGTCATGGCATGGATCGAATCTTGAATAGGATCCACCAGCTTGTTGATGTGCTTTGCGGACCTTCGATGTTGATGTGCTTTGCGGACCTTCGATGTTCCAGTTGCGTGTGGCTATTGACTTTGTTAGGCATAAATTTGCAAAGAATGCTGTCTCCGGGGGGTACTGTTTTTTCCAGACTCCTTGGATCAAGGTGGTATTTCTCTTGCTCATCATCTATATTCATTTACCTATGCTGCCATATAATCATAATGATCGGCGCATACATTGTGTTATATCTAATTTATTATTAAATGGCCATGACAAGCACGCCAAAACAAATAAAGTCTTCTTTTTATTGACTGTATTTTCAGACTTCGTAAACCTTTTACTGGGGTTAATCTGATCAAGTTTGTTTCTGTTTTTGTCTTGGTCCAATGTCACGAAATAACTAAAAATTCTACTTAAAATGTACATGTATATGGTTAATTAATCTGTACATACCTGACTCAGTGCAACTTAGTTGTTCTGGTTCAATTTTCAAACAACTGCGTAGCTGTGCAAATTTTTCTGTAATATAAACGAATTTTAAGTTACTTTTTTTTTATAAATCATGCTAAATAATGTTATTTATCATAGGTGAAAGTGCCAATATAAAACAAAAAAAAATATTTAATTGTGTCTGTGATATTAATTTTTGACAAATTATTATTTATATAAGTAGAGCATGTGAAAAATTTAAAATACATAAACTTGTGAAACAAGTCTTATTGAAACTGTACCAGAAATTTTCTTTTTTTAGTAGCCATGGCGACACTGTCTAAATCAAAAACTAATGCATTGTACAAAGAATAACTAGAAATATGTCCATAAGACTTGAATGCCCCGCCGAGAATATATTAGTAAAACAACACAAAAATTTGTATGTGTATAAAATTTGATCAGAATATCTTAACAGTGATGCAGCTGAATTGCTTGTTTGGAAAATATAGGTCAGATCCAGCATCCGAAGCAAGTCTGGTAGTGTCCATCACTTGATGCATCATCCATGCAAGTTTGGTTCAGGGAATGAAAATATAGGTCAGATCCAGCATCTGAAGCAAGTCTGGTAGTGTTCATTGTTCATCCCTAAATGCATCATCTGTGCATGTTTGTATCGACATGTGAAGTTTGATATTAAACACCATCTTGAATGATTAATTAAAAATTGAGCTAAACACTAATTTAAGAAAAGTGAGGTCAAGGTCAAAAGAAATGTCAAGGTCCAAAAATGTTTATGCAGTTGCATAGCTCTCATAAATATCTATCAGCATATGAAGTTTGATGAAAATATCTTTGATAGTTTCTTTGAAACTTAGCTTTGAACAGAGCTAAACGCAAAGTGTGACGGAAGGACAGAAGGACGGAAGACGGACATGACAAACACTATATGCTCCGGTCATATTTATGGCGGGGCATAAAAATAATGTACAGAGTACTATTTACGAAATATTATATAAAGTTGACCAAAACTGTAGGAGAGTAGCATTTTGATTTGTTACAAACAGTCAGACTGACAGACAATGGACACCTTTCTATTGCACAAGCTTTTCTGGTATCTGACCAGCAGAGCTAAAAAGAAATAACTCGATAAAAAAAAATCAATTACCTAATTCTTCTTCAAAGGTTATATTTGGCTGACTTGAAATATTCCTTCGGTGCTGTGTGGAACATTGTTTACATATTTCTGAAATCAAATTGCTTTTGAAAATAAGTATGTTCTTGGAATCTAGAAAAATAAGTTACTAAGCCATGTATGTCAGAGTATTCTTTTTAAAACTATCTATCAAACAAGTTATATAGTTTTCCAGCATGCCATATACTGGGCATGTTACCCGGTACATACTAGTAAACAAATTACATACTCCAATATATAGATTCATTGGCGTCGTAAGCAAATAGAAAGTTGGAGGGGGGGGGGGGGCTACTTAAAAGAGAAAAAAAACTTGGGGTGTGTAGGATCGAAATTCTTTCACTCGATACCATTTTCTCCCATACACTGCCACTTATCCTTTTTTGAACTTCATTGCAACGCGCCTGTTGAAAGTGGGGGGAGGTGTGTGTGCTAAACCTATGACCCACTGTTTAATATCAATATTATGTTTATCTTTGCAAAAAAAGTGAAGGGGAGGTAGTTTACTCTCCCTAGCCCCCCTCCCCCGGGTTCCGACGCCTATGAGATTCATGCGTCTTGTAAAAAGTTTATATATGAAGTATGGCTGACGATTCACTGATATATTGATATTAAATTGATCGATTCTTGATCATATAATGTTGATATTTGATTCACTATCTCGAAATTTGATGCATTTTTTTTTTAAATAATCGGATTTGTTTCCTCCTTGAATTAGATCTGGTTCAACTCATTTTAATAATCGGACAAATATACACGAGGGAGAAAAATAAAAACGGGGAAAGTTTCATTTCATAAGGTGAGACATAATGTATCGTACCGTTGAGGAAGCATTATATTGTTTTAGCCCTGGAAGTTTGACTGTTTTACCTAATCCTACTGGTATGATCTGTCTGGTCTTGAGCCATAATTCTTTGCAAAGAGAAGGAGTGGCACCACGGTCTGACTTTGCCTTGCTACTGCTGTGATCATGGTCTGGATATGTACAACGTACCCTTCCGCGTCTCCAGTTCAAACCAAAATGTGCACGATGTGCTTCACAAATACTGAGGTTCAACGAGTTTTTATCTATTGTGAATATGCCGCTTCTATATAAAATTAACAAAGATTCTGGACAGTCGTAAGATTGAAAAGGTTTTCCTTTAACACACTCTGAGGACTTCAAACATGCTAGATGTCTTTCAGTGCTTCTGTCACAATCAACTACACGGAGATATTCCTCTGTTTCATCACACGGAATCTGGGAAAATTTATGAAAATCACATCCTTGTGAATTTTTACTCATTTTGTTTGCATTAAATTGTAAGTTTTCCATAGAAAATTGACTGCTTTCATGTGTCATTATTATTTTCACCTTGCACAGACATTTTCCAGTGCAATTATTTTACCTTTAAAGTAGGAGAGTTGCGCAAGGGGACTTAACTCATACTAGGCAAATGCAAAAAAAAATTATCTAAATATTAATATTAGCATTAAAGGCATCTATAATAAAAAAAAAAATTCTTTATATTAATCAACAATTTCTAAAAAAAAATAAGTTTGTCATGAAAATACCATTTAATCATTTAAGTAGCATTTTGTAGCATGAAATTGCTTGTTTTAAGTAAAGATAAATATTGATAAATTCACCCGTAATTGGAATTTTTTTTTCTGTGATACATAGTTGTTTGCCAACGACAATTTTTCAATATGTTTTTCTTCTATATTGAATAAATTCAAAACAGTACAATTCAAATAAAAAAATCATCCTCGCTTAAAGATACGATAAACCAAACTTTGAAAAAAAGCCTTTTTTGCTAAAATCTAGATTCTTTGTATATTATCTCGTATAATGTGGCTAAATATAAAATATATATGTAATTCTTTTTAATGAATATTATTGACTACTATTGCACTACCATAACATATGCAAGATTGAATTAAAAATAATAGCAAATATGTTTAAAAGACGCACTTAAAATGCATCATTTTCAATGGATTACAATGCTCTTTATACACTTTTTTGTAGGAATACAAATAATGCCCGTTACTAAAAATAGAAACAACTTATGAAAAAATATAAATCATATTTTAGGTCACTTGGACCAAATCTTTATTTGTGTGGGTCACTTTTACATTTACTAAGATAATGCATCTGGACAATTTTTTTCAATTTGCATGGTTTTCTCTGAGACGGGCACTTAAAAAAATATTTATACATGTATAATTATTTAAAAAATAAGCCGTCACATTTTTATATCCATATTGGCATTTTTATTATGCGCCGGGATCGATAGATCCGAGACGTATACTGTTTTTGTCCTGTCTGTCTGTTTATCTGTTGTCAACTTTAACCTTTGTCATAACTTTTGAACCATGAGAGATAGAGACTCGAGCTCTATATTTGGTATGCGTACTTCATCGATAAAGCTTTTTCAAATGACACAAAGGTCAATGACCTTGTGACCTTGACTATGAACTATAGACTAAAAATAGCTTTTATCGAACTTTTGCCATAACTTTTGAATCGTGAGAGATAGACTTCATATTCTTTCTTAATATATATACACCACTAATGAAGCTCTTCCAAATGATATCAAGGTAAGGATCTTGTGACGTTGACTGTGACTTATCTGCAAAAATATTTTTCAAACTTTGTTCCCGCTGCGGGTAAATAGTGTTTCGCAAACACATCTTGTTTTTCAGCTTCAGTACATTTAAGAAATAAACAACGTTATTCAGTGAACGTGGCGTTATGAATAGCAATTGCTCTGCCGGCATATTATTATGCTAATTATGCCAGCAGGGCTATTGCTATTCATAATGCCATGTTCACTGAATAGTCGTTGTTTATGTGGTAGTTGTACTTTTTATATTTTTAAGATATGTATTTTAGATTGTACACATTATTCTCATTCTTTATTTTATTCATTCAGTCATTCACTCATTCATTCAGCGCTGCGCAATGCGATTTACTAACATTCTATGTTGTCTTGTTCAGTGTCTGTTATAAACCTAAACACCCCTATTTAGTTAATGTTGTATTCCAGGTAAACTACCAGGTAATGTTGTGAATGGGTTATTCCATTATGTAGTGGGACATTGATTTCTATTTGTCAGTGTGGTTGATTGGTTCTAAGGTAGAATTGGCGGGAATTACTATAATGATTTCCCTTATTATGAGAACTGGTTTCTGAAGGGTGTACCTGTGTATAGTGAAATTACCTATGTTTAAGTGTTGGAGACACCACCCTTATTCCTGTGAGTAATTTAATAAATAATTAAACTACTAAATAAGTATGTAAATAATTCATTTTAATTCATTTTAATCTAAACTTGCTAAATAAAGTGTGAGTGTGTGTAAGGAATGTATATAAAGATTGGTAAAGATCTATAAAAAGCAAGTTAACTATTTTAATCTATTCTTGCATCCTAAATAAAGGATTTGAGAGTTTGTTATAATTTTACGTATTGTTAATTAGGTCAGATATATCTGAAGTGAAGTCAGATTGGTTTAGCTAGGAGTTAGGAATTCACCTTATTCCATAAATGGGTATGTGTTTGTGTATTGAACAGATTGATTAATGTAAATATTGTTTATAAGTTATTTCTATGAATTAGAAGTAAAGTTTAATGGTTTAAAAAGATAACTAAACTGAGTGAAGTGTGACCTAATAATTTTAAACGGTATAAATGTAAGTGAACTATAAATGATTGTGTTAAAGTTGTGATTATCTGTATGTATTGTCTTTGTATTGCTTTGTGTGTGTATGTGCTTACATGTGTTATTGTAGGGTTGAATCTTATCTGATCTTATCTGATTTGAACCTATACCAAAATAAATTGGATCCACACCCGAGAGAACCATCTTGTTGTTTTATCAAACCAAGAACCGGTTACAAAAAATGGCGCCCAACAGCATTAGACAACCGATTGGTGGCCGATGACTACTACTCACTATTCCCGGAAGTAACATTCCTGGAGTGCGGCAGACGGGTGGTTGTGTTTATGTGTATTGTGCACGTGTTCTGTGTATTCGTTCCATATGTGATGTGAACTGTGACGCCTGTGTTATGTTAAATGTACGTACAGTCCGTATGATTACAGAATCATGGATCACAAAAATCGCCAGCTGGTAAGACTGTTTGTATTTGATACTTTATGAGCTCAAACTTTCGTGCGTGAAACTGCAGTAACAGTAGTATTACCCAGTCACGTGATTGACATCAGCTGATTCTATATTTAGAGTAACGAGGTCATTTTGCTTTAGCTGTTTATTTTGCATTTGTGATTATTATTTGTGTGTCTTGGTCATAATTATTTTTTTGTGGTTGTTTATTATTTGAAAGAAAGTTGAGAGCGGGTTAAGAAAGTGTAAATATTACTATAAACGTAAAGGTTTAAAATTTCCAATTTTATCCGGAATTAAACTTTCGCCTTAAACTACATTTTATTATCTGCCCTTGACATTCCTTAGCCATATCCGGTGTAAACAAAACCACGTTGTCTTGAAAGAAAAGAGTATTTCATTCATTGATTCCTCACTGCAGTGGTATTATTTGAAGGTTTGTTCGTCTAGTTCTTAGTCAAAGGTTGACATTTGATTATTTGTTGCATTAAACTAGATTCAAATCCAAACTTTGCAGTTTTTATAAAAATGTAGGTCAAATACCAAAGTAATTTTCCTCAGTCAACAACATTGAAATATTTTTGTCTTGTCTTGTGTGTTTACTAAACTTGCGCTTGCTTGCTGCGTTCATTCATCAGTCACTCATCATCAGTATTAAGTAGGAAATTACATACATAGAATCATGTTTTAATCATGATGGTTTAAAGTAGTATATTTTTTTTTTCTACCAAGTGCAAAAACTTCAGCAATATTTAGTGCAGTAGAATTATATTAGCAGAGACACTTCAAGTGATGGACCTTAGGTAAGAAACACTGAGAGAAGTTTGTCTGTGGTCATTGATATCTGTCATTTGTTTATTTATTTCCCCAGAGTTTGTAATCTCGCAGTTCATATTCATTTTTGCTGTTGCAAACATTTTGCTTGATATTTCAGTTCATAATTTAATTTCTGACTTTAAATTTTTTTTTTTCTTCAATTTCAGCTATTTTCGTGTCAATAACAATAGTACGTGTCGGTTTCTTGTATTTAGCGTGTCGGTTTCTTAAACTTAATGTTAGTTTAATTCATTTAGGTTCTTAGTCTTACTTAGAGGTTTAGTCTTAGTTACTTAGAGTTAATTAGTCACTTAATTAGTTACTTAATTAGTTAATTAGTCTTAATTAATTAGTATTTTTTTTCTTGGAATTTCACTCAGAATTTTGCTGACATTTTTTTTTTCATTTGTTCATTGATAAAATAATTAATTGCTGAAATTATTTATTGACATTTGCATTTCAGGAACTTCTTTGTCATTACAATTTTGATAATTATTTTTTATTACAGATTTTTTTTTCAGATTACATAGCAACTTTGATTAGTAGATTTTGATAGTATTTATTTAATTTATTCTTCAAATTCTTTTGCAGGTTAACTTTAGAGATTAATAAGATGTAGAGATTAATTAGATTATAGCAATTAATTAGTGAACATAAGACAGTTTAGTTAGAAATTTAGGATATATTAGACTTTGATAGTTATTTTTGATCTACAACAGGAATAGATTTAGTTTATTAGTTACTTAGTTAACCTTAGAAATATTTATTTACTTTGAATAGATTAGCATATATTATTTAGGTAAAAGTAGTACTCGCAGTGTAAACATGTTAAACCCGGAAGGTCAGGATACTATGACGGATGAGGAACTGAAGGAAATAGCAAATGCGTTCAAAGAGCTAGGTGTAAAACCCAAAGCTAAAACTGCAAAGGATCTCAAAGCATGGATGGTGAGCTATGCCCATTGGACGACACCAAAGATGTCTCAAGGAGAATATTCGCACTCTCAATTCGAGGAAACAAGTGAAAAGCACCACATTATTAACAATCCACCTAAACTACCAGTGTTTTCAGGTGATAAGAAGGGTGACACTACCTACGACCTGTGGCGCTACGAGGTTGAATGTTTGAGGAAAGATGATGTAAAGGACTCAACTCTACTACAGAGTATAAGACGCTCACTGAGAGGAAGTGCAGCTCGAGTTCTGATGAGGCTGGGAACAGATGCACACATTGTAGATATCCTATACAGATTTGATAGTGTATACGGTACTGTGCATGATGATGAAAATCTACTTTCCCAGTTTTACAGTGCAACACAAAAGGAAAATGAGGATGTTTCTGAATGGAGTTGTCGTCTGGAAGACCTATTGAACAAAGTGATACAGAATGGAGAAATTTCACCAACAAAAACAGACCAGATG